ATAACTATAAGTGCTAAAACAAGTTAAATACTAAGAATAGCAGGAAAAATCGAAATTATTCACTCCTATATTTTTTAATCAATATTTTTCTCTTATCAATAATATTGATAAAAAAATTTTCTATTGTATAAAAATATTTTCTATTATAACTATTAATGTAATTATCAATTATCATTATTTTTCCAAGTATAACTAATAATATAATTGTCAAATTTAGTATAAATTGATACTAATTATTAAATTTTTTGCACTTATGCGACTATCAATAATTTTCACCTACGTGTATAAATATATATTTGTATAAGAATAAGTCTGTAATTTGAATGACTCCTAGGACTATTCCAAAATTTTCTATTTGGGATAGGATTAAAATTCTTGGAAAACGTCTAAAATGATTCCTGGAAATATTCCAAAACTTTATCTCAAAAAAATATTTGTATAAGAATAATTTATTTTTTCACAGAATGAAATGTGAATTTATCATTTATCTTATCGATAAATATATAAATAAATCGCTCGTATTCATCCCATTTTAGAAAATAATTTTCCAAAATAAAATTCGATGATTTTTTTGAAAAGTAATATTGGAAATGAATTGGAAGAATTGTGATATCAAATTTAAATGTTAAAAAATTCATTAATTCGTTCATTCAGCGATTTATTTTCGTTTAAGAAATTATCACAAAGAATGATAATTATAGTAATATTATGATAATTAGGAAATAAATCATATTTGGATGATTTATACGAATGAGAGTAATATATCAAACGAAAAATTATTGGTACTACAAATGCAAACTTATATTTTGGATATTCGAGTTTCAGGTTTCTTCTTATCTTATCATTTGTTTGTTCCCATTTTCTTTTTTTGAAAAAATGATAAAATAATAAAATTAATTAAAAAGAATATTAATGCGTAATTAATAAATTAGTAAGATAGATATAATTAAATTAAATGGAACAATTAATAATATCATATATCATTTGTCGTTTTTCCATTACTTTTTTCTTTGTTGCTTTTATATAAATTACATTAATTATCAACAAAGAGAGAGAGAGAGAGAGAGGGAGAAAGGAGGGAAAGAGAAAGTGAGAAGAAAAAAAACATCATTAATTATTGTAAAGTTTTTGTTTGAAATAATTTAGCAATAATTTATATAATTAAACATTTCATTTATTCTTTCCCTCTTTTTCATTTTTCTTTAATTCTCTTCTACTTTTCTTTGTTACTTATTATTTTATATATATTTTATTATATATATATTTTTTCATTACAAGATATATTCTACATATATGTACTTATATATTTATCTTTTAATTATATCTGATACAAGATATATTCTATATTTATACTTTTATATATTAGCTTCTACCATCTTATACATTTGCTTTTTCATTCAATATATAAAATATATCTTAAATATCAAAATTATAATATAATATAATTAAAAAAAATATATGAAATGAAAATCAAAAATTAAAATGTATAAAATTAAAAATTAAAATATATAAAATTAAATAAAATATAAAATGAAAATTAAAAATTAAGATATCACATATATCATTATCACACAATATCACATATATAAAAATCTTTCAATAATCATTTCAGTATCATTTTTATCCTTAACATTCAAATGGAAATAAGAAGAAATTCCTTATCTTATAGATCCTGAAATTAAGATATCAGTATGTTTGAGGTAAAAAAAAGGCAAAAGATTAAAAGAGAAAAAGAGCAAGAGAGAGAGAGAGAGAGAGAGAAAGAAATGGAACAGGAAAAAAATAGATGGGCAAAATGATGAAGGCGAAAAAATCTCTGTTCATCGAATCTCTCATCATTTATCCAGAGAGGGAGGGAGAGAGAGAGAGAGAAAAAACTAATTTTTTTTCTCTCCCCCTCTCTCTCTCTCTCTCTCTCTCTCTCTTTATATTCCCTCTTTTGAGATTTCTTTTAAAAAAATTCCCATTTTTTTCATCTTTCCAATCTTCCGACACTTTTCGTAACCCCCCGAACAAATCACAGCAGGAAATATTTTGTTTGGTGGAAGAAAGGATGAAGAAAATAATCAAACTATCTCATTATTGTTGCCACTTCCAAAACCATTTCTATCAAACAATTCATTAAAATTTAATTTAAGGATTTTCTCATTCAAATTTAATTTTTGAAAATTTCTTTTCATCGCTTTTTCTTTTTTCATTCTCTTCATTATTCATTCACTCTATCCTTTCTTCTTATCTCATAGTTTACGTAATTTTTAAATTACTCTTTTTGCTATTGCTAATTAAATTCATACGTGCATAAATAAAATACGAATTTGAAATTTGTATAGTTAAAATACGAATTTGAAGTTCGCATAATTAAAATGCGAATTTGAAGTTTGCATAATTAAAATACGAATTGCAATTTGCATAACTAAAACACAAATTTGAAATTTGCATAATTAAAATACGAATTTGAAATTTGCATAATTAGAATACGAATTTGAAATTTGCATAGTTAAAATACGAATTTGAATTCGTTTGAAATTTGCATAAATGAAAAAATACGAAAAAATAAATTTAATCGATTAGAAATTTGAAATAATTCATTTCATTAATTTCAAATAATTTCATTTGGTTGATTGTTTTTTAAAAAAAATGCAATTTCTTTTGCAAATTCTTTTCTTTCGTTTTTTTTCCTTTAAATTTTTCTTTTGTTTTAAATTTTAGAAAATTTTAAAAAAATTTTTTTAAATCGTTTTTTTGAAATTTTTTCCGTTCTTCTTTTTATATATTGTTTCAAATTTTGTGATGAATATTCTTATTATTTTTGTTTTCTTTCTTTCCTTCTGTATATTATTGATTTCATATAAATAGCATATTTAAATAATATATTTAAATAACAATTCATATAAATAATAATTCGAATTATTACTATTGAAAATTCTTTGTTTTTTGACACAGAATTTATTAATAAATTTAACAAATTACTCATTCCATATATATTACTCAATATTATCACACTATCATTATTGTTATCAGTAAACTGCTATCAAATAACTAACAATATCAAATATAACAAACCAAATCATTCGTTGTTTCATTCATTTGTAAACTTATCACTTAAAAAAATTGATTTAAAAAAACTTATCACTTAAGAGAATTGATTTCAATGGAATATAGCTGTTTCATTCATTTGTAATTTTATCACTTAAGAAAATTGATTAAATTTCAAATGGAATAGTTTGGAGAAAGTGAAACATTGATCAAATAGTTTTTTTTTTTAAAGAAAACAAAACAAAAATGTTGCAAACTTATTTATAAAATTAAATTGAAATAGAGAGATAATAGAGAAACGAAGAAAAAAAAAAGAATATAAGGGAAGATGTGAATAGAGAAATTTTAAAAAAGTTGATTTTATATCATTTTTTATTCCTTCTGGAAAATTTTATTTTTATTGCAAAAATAAATATTACGTGCTAAGTGAAAATATTACGTGCTAAGTGAAAATATTACGTGCTAAGTGAAAATATTATGTGCTAAGTGAAAATATTACGTGCTAAGTGAAAATATTACGTGCTAAGTGAAAATATTACGTGCTAAGTGAAAATATTACGTGCTAAGTGAAAATATTATGTGCTAAGTGAAAATATTACGTGCTAAGTGAAAATATTATGTGCTAAGTGAAAATATTATGTGCTAAGTGAAAATATTATGTGCTAAATGAAAATATTACGTGCTAAGTGAAAATATTACGTGAAAAAATATTACGTAAAATATTATGTAAAAAAATATTACGAAAAAATTTAATAAAACAATGAAAATGAAAGTATTTCAATAACAACAATAATAACATTTGTTTATTTGCGTATATATTATATAGTGTAATATTTTATTAAATTTATATAAAATAATATATTATTAAAATTATATTAAATGATATTTTATTAAAAACAAAAACAGAAAAAGGGAGCTGTTTTAACTGAAAGTATTTTCAATTGTACTATATCATATTGGTACCAATATAATATAAAATCGAAATTTTAATTTATCAAAAGAAAAGAAACAAAATATCTATCCTCATCCTCTCCACTTTTTTTGCATGTTTATATTACCGTAATGAATTTACCTATAACATAAAATTTCAGTAATAAAAAAAATTGGAAACCAGAAATTTAAATTCAACAAAAAATTTTATTTTACATTCTCCTATTTCCTCTTTCGTTCGTCTTCCTTTTTTTTTCATTTCCTTCTCTTCCTCTTCCTTCCTTCCTTCTCCTTCTCCTCTTCCTTCTATTAGAAGAAGAAATTATTTGCTGTAATATTTATAAATTTATAAAATCAACAAGAAAAAAATGAATCATTGTCAAATATCTTTGTTTTGTATGTGTATGTATGTATGTGCATGTGTATGTGTGTATGTATGTGTATGTATGTCTGTGCGTGTGTGTAAGAATTTAATGACAATCATCCCATTTCATCATCATCATTATTATTATTATTATCATCATCATAGTCATTATCACCGCAATCTCATCGTCATTATCATTATTATCATCATCCCATCATCATTATCATCAGCTCCTCATCGTATCATCATTATCATCTCATCATCATTATCATTATTACCACCATCTCATCATCGACATCATCATCAACTTCATTATCATCATCAATATCATCATTATCATTATCATCAACATCAATATCATCATCATCACGATGATCATCACTATCATCGTCACCAAATCATTATCATCAATATCATCATCATCATTATTATCATCATCATTAATATCATCATCATCATCAAATCATCATCATCATGATCATCAATATCATCATTATCATCATCAAAGCAACATTACAGAGATTGATAGTTTTTTGCTTTCAAATATATAAATTCCATTAATTTCATCCTCCCCGTCATAGATTGGATGGTTTTCAATTATTCATTCACTTGATTGCTTTTTCTTTTTTTTTTTTAACATCTAGCAAAACAGATAAAAAGGAATGATGAAATGATATCATCGATAATTATGGATGTGAAACGATTGTATCAAATTCATTATTTCATTATTCTCATTCAACTACTAACTATATGTACTGTATTCTTATTACAACTACAATTAGTTGCTACAATAGATAGTAATAATACAGACGAATATTACACAACCAATGATTTATTTATCATTGATAGCTTATCAACAGTATGTTCAAATAAATGTCCAAAATTTTGTAATAATCCTGAATTATTGGATTGTTCGGAATTAGCAAAAGATCCATGCGAATGTTGTACAGTTTGTGTGCATGATACGGGTGAATCATGTGGACCTGGAATTGGTGCATGTCGCCATCCAAATTTTTGTCAACCAAAATTGGATCAAAATGGAATTGGCATTTGTATTGGTAAGTTTTTGGCTTGAGTAAATTTTACGATAATTTCGAGATTTTAATTTTCCACCTTTTTTTTTTCATTCTTGTTAGCTAATTTAATCAATCTGTTAATTAGTTGCTAAAGCTTTTTTTTTTAGGCTTTTATATTTTTATTAATTAAATATTTGAAATTACACATTTTACAAGCATTTGCGAATTATACTCAACCAAATGCTCTTTCACAACTTATTTCGTAATATTACTTTTTTATTCATTAATTAATTAGAACGACTTTTATTGATTAATTAGGGCAAAATTTATTGGAGCAACTTTTTTTTTGAACTTTAAATTACTGTAAAATTTAATGAAATTTATTTTTAAAATTTATAATATTAAGTGGTTCAGTGGTTCCAATGGGGGTTCTCATATATGCTATAATTATTTGCTTCATTTATTTCATTCTGCTTCACTTCTCTTTTTAACATTATCTTTGATTCATTTCATCAGTTCAATTAATTTCTGTATTAACAATTTTTGTTCAAATTAATTAGAATTTAAATTAAGAAAAAGTTATGGAGAAAAGCAACTTCCAATTTAAAGTCTTTCAAAATTTCATATCATACACACCCTTTTTTGCTGGAATTTAAATCAATGAAAATAATTTAATTATTGATAATGATTTGATTATCTTTAACAATGAAATAATTATACGGTGAATAGTAATGATGTGGTTATCATTAGCAGCAATATAGTTATGTAGTAATTGATGGTTGATGTGGTTATTCTTAGTAATAACAAATAGCTATATGTCAAGTGATATTGATGTGGTTATCATTAGCAGCAGTATAGTTATGTAGTGATTGATAATTGATATAGTTATTCTTAATACAGATATAGTTATCGAGTAAATGATAATTTTTTATTGAAAAATTTTTACATTTTAATAATATGATAATTTAATAATAATTTTTACATTTTAATAATTATAATTTAATAATAATCATTAACAAAAATGTTTTTCATAACAGGTAATCATTTGATCATCGATGTGATAATATGAATTAAATTATAATACAACATTTTTTAATTTATTTTTTAATGATACCTTTTTAATTATTCAATATATTATATAAAATATGTAAACGAAAGCATTTATAGGTGAATGTTTTGAAATTGTTAAGCAAATTTTTTTCCACTCCAATTTTGATTGTTTTTGTTTTAATTATTGTTTCATTTCTTGCCGATTTCATATTTGTATTTTTTAAATTAATAATTTATTTTTATTATTTAATTATGATTCATTTCCATTATTGTTTACATTCTTTAATTTTTTATCAACAACGAATAAAAATTAATCATCACTTATTAATCATCAATTAATCATCATTTATTATTCATCAATTAGTCATCATTTATTTATGTAAAAAAAAATAATCTAAAATAATCTCTCTTATTTATTCCATTCATATATTTTATTAATGAATTAATCATTTAATAAATATGATACTATTATAATTGTTAAATTATTTATTTTGAAAATAAATTCATTTCGTTTCTTTCTCTTTTTTACAATTAAATGATATTGTTGTAATTACATTACACTTTACAATAGAGACATCAATTCAAGTGCAAAAATCTTTGTTAAATTAATTCGTTCTTTCTTAGATACAACCTTATCGTTTTGCAACATTTCAAATTTACTGTACACACATATACACACATACATACATACATACATACATACATACATACACACACATACACACACATAATATCTTTCGCTTTACAATATTTCAAATTTACTACACACAACACATATACACACAATATCTTTCATTTTGCAACATTTTAAATTTACGATACACAGCTACACATGCATACACATACATGCAAACACATATATGCAATATCTATTGTTTTGCAACATATCAAATTTATTTATACACACATACATATGCACACAGATATATACACAAACAATATCCTTCAACATTTCAAATTAACTATACACACCTACACATGCACACGCATACACACAATGTCGCTTTGTAGCATTTCAAATTTACTATAGACACCCACACATGCACACACATACATACAACAAACAATATCTTTCGTTTTGCAACATTTCAAATTTACTACAAATATGCAAACGTAAACACGCACACACACAATAATATCTTTCTTCCATTTTTTTTTTTCATCATTTTACGACGGATCGTAAAAGTGTTCGTTTTCATTTGAGCTTTGATTTGAAGAGGAGAGAAAATAAAAAATGAAAATAGTTTTAATTCTTTGATAGAAAAAAGAAAGAGAAGAAAAGCGAAAGACAAATAAAGATTATATTACAATTACTATTAGTTTCCGTTAAGTAAACAAAGCAAAGTTAACTTTTATTCAAAACTATTATTTTATACGTAAACAAACAAACAAACAAACAAATAGCATCGTTTTTTTTGTTTACTAAACTAATATAGAAAATTTTTCATATATTTGAAATAATTTAATTTATTTATTCAATAAGAATTAAACATATCATTGCTTATTATGTTAATATTAGCAAGTGTTATTAATATTAATTATTAATTGAATTAATAAATCAGAATTGAATTAATGCTATTTGTGATATTTTGTATTTAAAGCGATTAAATTAAGATAAATTTATTGAAAAGAACCATTCAATGAATTAATATTATTTTGATATTTTTGTATTTAAAGCAATTTAATTTAAATAAATTTATTAAAAAGAACTTATTAAAATTCATTGGTACCATATATTATGCTATTTTAGATTTGGAATAATTTACTGAGAAAAACCATTAAAATTCATTGGTACCATATATTATGCAATTTTAGGTTTAGATAAATTAGTTGAAAAAAAACCATTAAAATTCATTGGTACCGTATATTATGCTATTTTAGATTTGGAATAATTTACTGAGAAAAACCATTAAAATTGATTGGTACTATATATTATGCAATTTTAGGTTTAGATAAATTAGTTGAAAAAAAAAAAACCATTAAAATTCATTGGTACTATATACTATGAAATTTATTTAATCAAATTTGATATTATTACTTACACCGAAAATTAAAATTACAAATTGAAATGATAGAGTCAATTTAATCACCTAATAAAACAATGATTCTAATTTATATTTTCACATTTTAATTAATACATTCTTTCATTCTCTCTCCTAATGTATGGCCGTAATAATGATATGATATTTTAATGAAATTTCAATTTAAAAATAGTATATTTCCTAAACTTAATACTATTACTATTAATTAATTCACTATTCGTATTCTTCAAAAATTTTTGCTTTTTTCTACATATCTCAAAATTTTGCAAATTAAATAAATTCGATTTGTGCTTCTTAATTATCGATAAAACACAAAAATTAATTTGCAATTAGTAATTTACACAAATTTAATACTATTACTATTAATTAATTAATTGAAATTTTAAATAAATATTATGCAAATAAATACAAAAAGAAAAAGCGACTTTTTTTAAAACTTTTTTTTGAATTTTCCTTTTATCATTGTGTAACATTTTTAAAAACTTTGTTTTAAGAAATTTCATTGTAAAATTTTTATGTTTAAATAAAATTTTATTTATTTTAGGACGGATAAATACATTAAATATTAGCTTAAATATATTTTATCCATCGTTTATTTCCATTTCAATCAATTCTTTTGAAATTTTCTATTTAAAATGAGTAAGGAAAAAGTGGAAGGAATAAGTCAAAAGATATTTTTGCAAGAAAATGAATTATTCTTTTGCAATTCCATTTTGTTGAAATTATTCGACAATGCTATTTATATAATATTAATAGTAAATTAGTTATTTATATGATATTAGTAGTACATTATATCAGTCCTATTATATCGATAGTAATGTATTGTATAAGTAGTGAATTAAAGGGTTTGGAAAAACAAAAGAATGAAAAACAAAAAAAGGGAAATTTTAATTTAAAAATTAATCCACCTGAAATAATTTCATCCAGTTTGCATTATTTGAAAAGAATAAAAGTGGAAGAAAGAAAACTTACGAACTTTATTTTTGTGTGTGTTTCTTATTTCATAGTTAATATTAATTGGAAATGGCTTTCTTTAATTGATACTTAATATTAATTGGAAAAAAACCTTTTTATTGATTTAATAATTAATGATAATTGGAAATAGCTTTTTTTTATCAATACTTAATATCGATTGGAAATATTTTTTATGATACGTTAATATTAATTAATATTAATTGGAAATGGCTTTTTTAAATTAATACTCTTAATGTCAATTGGAAATGGCTTTTTTATTAATACTTAATATCAATTGAAAATTTTTTTAATGATGATACCTTAATATTAATTGGAAATGGCTTTTTTTAATTAATACTCTTAATGTCAATTGGAAATGGCTTTTTTAATTGATACTTAATATTAATCGGAAATGGCTTTTTTCAGTGATACTTATTATTAATTGAAAATGACTTTTTTTTTAAATTAATACTTAATACTAATCGAAAATAGCCATTTTTGTTGTTCGAATCATTCATAACACTTGAAATTTCTGCAACATAACCATTTATCGTAAAATTTTCATTCTTTTTTTGGGATGAAAAAATACTTCTCTTATCAATTCTTCGAATATTATTATCATCCATTTTCATATCATATTTTTATGTTCTTTGCAATTTCCAGAAAATTATATATTAGGTTAATTTTTTATTTCATATTTTCCAAGTGGAAAATTAATTATTCGCTAAGTTAATTTTCTTTTTCGAATATTAATATCGTAAAAATTATCGTATTAAAGTAGTAATATTAAATTCAATAATTAAATTTTTAAATTAGCAGAAGAGGGTGCCAATGATTACATTTTAAATATTTTTCTTTTCATAGATCTAAAAAAAATATTATATGCATAATGATTTTCTAAAAATATGAATGACATAGATATTAAATTTATATATTTAAGTATATGAGTATGTCTGCAAAAATATTATAATAATGTAATTTAAGATTTGCTGTTTGACATAGTCCGAAATATC